GCTCGCGTTACTTGGTGCGTCAGAACTCTCGAAAGATTCCACGCAGGATCCTCAAATGCTGTATACAACATCGTATTTCGAGTTTGGGTGTTCGAAAATGAGTTAAAGCCAACAAAAATTGTTCGTTCACGGAGTGTTGCAAAAAAAATGGTGGCCACGTTTGTCTCTAAAACCGGCCATGTTACGACTATTCCTCTTGAGGTACAAAGAATGGTTAATGCAGAATGGTATGCTAGCATTTGTTTTCACAGGTCGTTTCTGAACTCCGTAAAGAGAACTGCAATCGCCGTATCATCCAGCATCACGACAATGCGAGTTCTCACACCGGACACAGAACAAAAGATTTTTTAGAGCAAGAAAACATAGAATTATTAGACCATCCGCCGTACAGCCGACCTAAGCCCTAATGATTTCTATACTTTCCCTAAAATAAAGAATAAATTGCGTGGACAGAGATTTTCATCACCTGAAGAAGCTGTGGACGCCTACAAAACGGCCATTTTGGAGACCCCAACTTCCGAATGGAATGGTTGCTTCAATAATTGGTTCCATCGTTTGGAAAAATGTGTCAAATTTCGCGGAGAATACTTCGAAAAGTAATAAATACATTTTTAAATAGTAATGTTGTGTCACTTCCTTGATTCCCGAAATTTTCAGTGTCGCCCTCGTAATCCGATAAAGATGAAACTTTGGCGAGTTGTTGCTGGCTGAGATGTTCGACGTCTCGATTTCATAGTTAGCCCGGCTACCTTCCGTTTTTGATATTAATTTTTGATCCAATCTATGCAGAATGAGTTTTACAGTATCTTGAAGCAAGACTTCAAAATACTGAAAGTCTCAATGGTATGCTTGCGTTTGGATTTAATTTTATTATTTATAGGATCCCAAGCAGATGGTAGTACCCATCCATCTTCTCTATTGAAATTAGGATGTTTTTTAATTTCAATAGCCTCACGAATCATCCTAGATAGGATTTGGTAGGATGATTTCTGGTCTATCAAATCTAACGTAATGACGGTAAAATATGTAAAAATTAGTTTCGTAGTTAGGAAGATACTGCTGCCCAGCGATTTGTTTGTCTCTGTCGCCTCACATGACACCGACGGGAAAAAAGAGATTAAAAAGTAATTAAAACATTGCGACTTATCTAAATATTCATTAAAAGAAATGTTCATAACATTACACACAATAAAGACTAAAGACGAAATTTGAAAATTATACATAAATTGTATGGACATTATTAAAATATTAAGTTGTAATGTATTTCAGGAGGAAATGAAACGGCAATAGACCAGTATCCTTGGCTGGCGCTCATCGAGTACACAGACGGCTCACGGATCAAACTGCTCTGCGGTGGAGTTTTAATCAGTGGGAGATATGTACTTACTGCAGCTCATTGCATCACCGGGGCTGTTCTTGACTTAGGGACACCGTAAGTTACTTGGTTAATTTGTGTGACACCGTAAGTTACTTCGTTAATTTGTGTGACACCGTAAGTTACTTGGTTAATTTTTGGGACACCGTAAGTTACTTGGTTAATTTGTGTGATACCGTAAGTTACTTGGTTAATTTGTGTGACATCGTAAGTTACTTGGTTAATTTGTGGGACACTGTAAGTTACTTGGTTAATTTGTGTGACAACGTAAGTTACTTTGTTAATTTGTGTGCCACCGTAAGTTACTTGGTTAATTTTTGGGACACCGTAAGTTACTTGGTTAATTTTTGGGACACCGTAAGTTACTTGGTCAATTTGTGTGTCACCGTAAATTACTTGGTTAATTTGTGTGTCACCGTAAATTACTTGGTTAATTTGTGTGACACCGTAAGTTACTTGGTTAACTGTCGGGACACCGTAAGTAACTTGGTTAGTACGGCGTATGTATGGAAAAGAATCTTTTTGTGACGAACACTTGCTTTCGCCACAAGAGGATTCACATGTATACTTGGGAAAGAGGTGACGAGAGAAGCATGATAGTTTACACTATTTTCTACGGCGATCGTTCTCCTGTTCTCTAACCTCCATGGTCGCCACACACGGTCAGTTAAACTGATAATTTCAACTGATCAGTTCAAACCAAAACTGTTGATATTTTTTAAAATATTGGATTTTTGATATATCGATAGTTATAAATATATCAATATCGGAGTTTTATATATAGGTTTATTTATCCATATATTGAAAGTCTGATATTTAAAAAAAATATCAACAGTTTTAGTTTGAACTGATAAGTCGAATTTATCAGTTTAACTGGCCGTGTGTCTTCCTTTACACCAGCGGTTACCAGTTACATGTAAATTTTTCCCAGAATCAATGTACGACTTGGCGAATATGATATAACAAATTCCGGGCCTGACTGCGTGGAAGTCGAAGGAGGCGGCAGCGACTGCACGGACGGTGCTTTGGTTTTTCCGATCGAACACATTATTGCTCATCCAAACTACGGACTACGAAGGCATGACATTGCTTTGATCAGAATAAGTAAGACGGCTCCGTATACAGGTAACATCTTTTACGCTACACTAGATTTGCAACATTATAAGTATTTAATTCATGGAGATTAAAGAAAGATAGAAGAAACATAAGGAAAGTAAAAAGAATATCTACTTACTGTAACATCTCACATATCAGGCTTTAAAGTTCACCACTCGACATCCATTTAAAGAATGTGCTAATTGGCAAGCAGTACATAATAAAATTATTAGAAATAGTAAAACTTTCTTCAATACAGATTATAAATATTACTCACATATTGAAAGTAATTTTTAATTACCACTGGTTCAAAATGCCTCTTCTAGCGGAAGAACCACCAAGAGCGGAATTTTTTATATACTGTTAAAAATATTAATTTAAGGTTTTAATTCTGTCCTTTTTATTGTTTAAATATTGTTATTTAAATTACTTGGGAAAATTTATATAAATCACTATGGTATTAATAGCCTCCTTGGGAGTCTTTTTTTTATATAACTGGCAACTCGGTTGTTTGGAGAGATTGAAATTCGCTGTGTGTAAAAATTAATAACAGATTAAAAGATTTAAACAGTCTAAACCTATTATTTCTTTAAAAATTCAGAAGTGGGATTAGTTAGCCCATGTGTTTTATACACTAAATGAACTGAAAGGTAAAATAAGTGAGGATTGGGTAAGTGAATTATATCTAATTAGCTCATAAGTTTAATGGAGCAAACAAAATGGAGAATGTTGTAAAGTTCAAAATGCAATTAATAAATTAGTATGATTAGGTATTCATAGATACTTCATTGTATCATCATTATCATACTATTGGGGGATTGGAAAGATTCCTGGTTTCAAAAAAAAAAAAAGTAATACTGTTTACCTTACATTGGCTCGAACAGAAATCATGTCAGTTACCTGTTTATATATAAAGATTTATAGGTATAAATCAAGTTTAATGTCTTTGTACCTATTCATGTAACGTTTTTGATTGCATGCACTTTTGTATAATGTTATCTTAGTTACCACCCCAGCTGCATTTAATAATTTATGTGATATACTTATGCACATGCTTATTACACTGGCAAAATATGTATTTTCTGGAATAAATATAAAACCATGTAGTTTACTAATGCTTAGGACATGCTATAAGATATGTGAAGATATAAATATCTTAATTCAGAATGAGATTTGGTCATTAATGTTGATGCAAAATGGTAACAAGCACACTTCATTAAATATCTCATTCCAATATCAACACCACAAACTTTTACTCTTATAATATAAAAAACAAAATATTTAACTGTTTATGCTTTTATGCTGTTTATGTTTATTTATCTTGCCATCTCATACTTTAATAGAAGATTCATCGAGGCACCCACTAATGAGTCTGTTCTAATATATAACAAAATTTTCATGAAACTAATGTTAAATATGCATAAAGATGACCTTAATTTGATAAGATTTCTCTTCCAGTAAACCTTATAGTGGAAAGGTAAGTTTTTCTACGTGGGTTTAGAGTGTACATCTTAATTTATTTAATAATATTGTGAAACAATTGCCTCTTAACAATTTTTATTAGAATATATTTTTATTATGAATAAACCTTAATACATTTCCTTTAATATTTTATAGTTATTTCTCCCAAAAGGTAACAAAATGGCTGAAATACATATCACTTAAGTGTATTAGAAAATGAAGGGTTTGAATATGAAGATAATAACTTTATATTATATCGTTGGAAGTAGTCTATTATTTTCTTCTTTGTATTTTAATCTACTCATATTGAGTGATAATTGTGACCTGTTCAATCAGTATTTTATAATGTAATGATGAACATATGACTCAGTGAACAATATTTGCCTGCCAAGTCATAGGCTCAGGGTTGAACCATACAAATATATATACATTACTAAGTATTGCCTTTCATACCCTGTGATAGTAAATGTCCCTATGGATGAGGTTGGTCAAGCAAACCTTATTAGGTAATACCTATGCAATGTGTTTAATAACTACTTTTATAGGATTGTTTATTATTATTTTTTATTTCTTTACCTCTGAGGGTTGAGACTACAAGAGGTATATTAAAATTCTTCTAGCAAATTTAGTTAGTGTTCTATATTTATTTGACTTAAGTTGCTATGAAGTCATATGTATATTATACGAAACTCAAGAAGTGATATGCTATTTTAATAGATATATTTATTTACATAGACATTTCTGAATATTTCAGATTTGAGTTCATCCCATTCCACTTCCTTAAGCCCTAAAGCTATTAACAATGAGTTCTTATTCGTGTGACCCCATTAATGAAAATACAACACCAAATGCAACACCACCTTTACCACCCAAAGGCAGTAGTAGTAATACTCACATCACGGATAAGCGAATGTCATCAAGTAGAAGTAATCGCAAAGTTTCACACTCTCGCAGTAAATATAGGAGAAGGACTGCATCGCGTTCTCCCGTGGAGAGTGATAATCGCTCTCATATGTCGCAATATAGTCATCGTAGAAGCCGTCTTCGGACACCAGTATCTTCAAGGAATCGATACCGAGACATGTCTCGGACATATAATAAACGACAATCACATGATCGTGGTAGCTTAAGTAGCTCGTCAAAAGGTAGAAATTTGGTGTCAGAATCAGGACGATCGGGAACAGAATATACTCATAGGCATTCGAGAAATACTTTAAAGCGAAGTAGATCAAACTCTTCAATTTTATCCAAAAGCCATAATTCTAAAGTACGGCGTCATGGTTCACGCGAGTCACTTAGTTTAAAGGAAACACCGAATACAACGCTGCTAGAGCAATTAGTTAGTGTTCTCAACAATAAAATTAATGCTGGGTCTCCTGGTACTGCCATACATAACGCTCAGCACATAATAGCAGAATTCGACCCACAAGCTAAGTCACAGACAATGAAAGATTGGCTTTCTAAAATAAACGAGTCAGCACATGTGTACGGGTGGTCAGAACGTCAAACGATATTCTGTGCTTTACCTAAGCTGAAAGTTTAGCCAAACGTTGGTATGACGGACTGACAAGCATTAAATATACCTGGCCAGAATGGCAAGATAAACTTTTATCTGCATTTCCGTGTGAGCAGAACTATGGGGACTTGTTGTCCGAAATGTTAATACGAAAAACAAGACGCAACGAAACATTGGAAGAGTATTATTACGACAAAATTATGCTTGTCAACAGATGCGAACTTAAAGGCAGGCATGCGGTAGATTGCTTGACTCACGGAATATTTGATTCAAATGTGAGAATGAATGTGCAAGGAGCCAACCTTCAAGAACCTGAAGAAGTCTTGAAGTACTTTAGAAATATATCGAGTAAGGTTGTAGACACGGTTAAGAGATACACTCCGATTAATCGTGAGAATACAGACCACAGTCACATTAAGAAAACTATGGATTTAAATGCGAGAAGACAAATTCTGATAACATGTTTTAACTGTGGTGAACAAGGTCACACTGTCACAAGATGTTCCAAGGAGCTTATTAAATGTAAAAAGTGCCGACGCTATGGTCACACAGAAAAAGACTGTAATGGATTTGCAGATCCAACAAAAAAAGAACAAAGATTAATCCCAAACACCACGAATACAACAAAAAGTGTATTAAACATTACAAATAACGACAGCAGAGGCAATAAATACTATAAACAAGTTAAAGTAAATGGTCAAATAATATCAGGTTTTATTGACTTTGGTAGTCAGTGCACGTTATTAAGAAAAGATTTAGGAATAAAGTTGAACATCCCGATTGATAACATCAATTTACCAGACTTGAAGGGATTCGGCAATGGTACCTTAATTCCGTATGGCCGAATCATCATTCAAGTGGAATTAGATGGAATAAATGAAAGAGTAGAAGCCTATTTAGTGGAGCCCAATTTATTGCCAGCAGATGTATTGATTGGACAATCCTTCACAGAACTTCCAGATATACAAGTGTATAAATCTGATACTAGATTAACATTTTACAAGAAATTGGGTACTCAAACTGAAAAACTTCCATTAGTTATTTTAGAAAGCGTTTTACTTTCCGGAGTAACAATTGTTACATGTGGCACAACAGTTAAAGCGAGCGGTTCTATTTTCGTATCTACAGATGCCTGTTTAAAGAAAGGCAAGGAATACATGGTAATTCCGGGGTTGTATTCTATAGAACACGGAAAGGGGACCGTCATAGTGATCAGTTTAAATTCAGAACCATTTAGTTTGCCACAGGGTACGTTAATCTCTCGAGCGACATTCATTTCAAACGAACTATTGCCAAAAGTTACAACAGATGAAACTATAATAAAAAATGTTAGTAGCATAACAACAAACGACTCGACTAAGGCTATACTTGTCGATCAGCTTAACGTAGACGAGGGCCTACAATGTGAAGTAAAAGAAAGGCTACTTGAAATAATAAATTCACGACGTGATTGTTTTGCATTTTCACTTGAGGAACTGGGACAAACTTCTCACGCTGAAATGCTTATCAAGCTCAAAGATGATGAACCGGTAACCTACAGACCGTATCGACTCTCATTATCTGAACGCGGGAAACTCAATGCTATCATCAGCGATATGTTGACTAATGGCATCATACGAGAGTCAAAATCTCAGTACGCTAGCCCTATAATATTAGTCGCAAAAAAAGAACGGCGAGTCAAGGCTTTGTGTTGACTACAGAGCATTAAATAGGAAGACTATTAGAGAAAATTTCCCGATGCCTCTGATCGATGATCAGATAGATAGCCTCTCCGGTCAGGTTTTCTTTACGACGCTTGACCTTACTTCTGGATACCATCAAGTACCAGTATCAGAGGAGTCGAAACCGCTAACGGCCTTCGTCACTCCAGATGGGCACTACGAATACAATCGTATGCCATTTGGGCTGACCAATGCTCCGGCGGTATTTCAGAGGCTCATTTTGAAACTTCTAAGAAAACGTAATATTCCAGGAGTTTTAGCATACATGGACGATATAATAATTGCATCCAAAACAATAGACGAAGGAATGGAAAAGTTGCAAGCCGTACTTG